GGGGGCGCCCCTTCTCCCGCCCCCCCGCTGCCTATGCCCGGCCAGGCCGGGCCCTGTCGAGCGCCTCCCCCGCCCCGTCCTCCCCTGCTCTCCCTCCGACGCAAAAAATCCCTTTGCAACCAGCTAGACGCGGCGGCGGCGGCAAGATGCTTCCGGGCTCAGTGTCTCCCGGAGCGCCCCGACGGCACTTTCGCCACCGGCAGCTCTAGCAGGGACAAATCCGAGCAGAGGGGAGCACAGGCCCACCCGCAGCAGGAGGCGCCCCTCTGATCTGCCCAGCCAAATGGGGCCGGGAGCACACAGGGCGGCCATCCCTGACAAACGCTCAGACGGAAGAGGGGATCCCAGCTCCCCTCGTTCTGGGCTGAGCAGAGCTACAGGAGGCTCTGGGTCAAGGGAGGGCTGGCACCGAACAAGATGGCCCTGCCTTCCGCCAGTCACTGAAGGGGTGCCCTCGCCACCCCTAATCTCGGCATAGGAAGTTACGGCAGCTGAGTTGGAGCCACATCTCCCCTGTGAAAGCCAGGAGCGATCAAAGTAATCATTGATTAATCGGTGAACTGAATTCCCTTTTGTCCTCTTGCCCTAGAGACAGGAAGGGGGGCGCTAATGGGGTGATGAAGGGAAAATGTTTGGCACCTGCTCAGGGAGCCTTTTCTCCCCAGGTTGTCCTGCTTCAGAGGGGAGAGGAATCCCCCTTAACAAAACCAAACAACATAAAATGCCTGAAGTCCTTCACCGGTGCCCCCTGGCTCTCTGTGGGGCACAGGTGGGGGCTCTTAGTGCAAAATAATAAGGGAGCCTCAGGACAAGTTCTCCCTGCTGCAGACTCCCTCCTGCCCTGGCCTAACTGGGCTGATGAAGGAGAAGTGACTCAGTTTGGTATTTCAGCACCTAAGAGGAGGGTGCGGCCTGGCCTTAAATGTTCACACTAGCAGCATATTTAAATCTGATTTCTTCTTCATGACGACAGAAGAGGTGCTGCAGCAACTCCACTTAATAGGAAGAGCTGTACCACGACCCAGTGCCAGTTCAGAAGAGGAGATGCCCTGCTGCTGAGGGCATGGAAAGGCCAAATGGACTGGGGGGGGCGGGGGGGCTTCCACAGGTTTGGCCAATCGGGTGGGATCTTTCAAACACAGCAATGTTTGCAGAAGCTAGGTGTGTCTCCAGTGCTGAGGGCATGTGCCTGCTTGCTTCTTCTGAGGCTTCTGAGGGACCGCCTGGCATCTGCTGGAAAAGCCCGGGGCAGAGGCCTGCCTCCTTTGCTGAGGGAATTGTAAAGCACCCAATCATATAATAATAATAATAGTAAGATACAAGACATAAGATATGATAAAGCACAGTATGGAAAGAGGAGTAACTGTGGAAGGGGGGCACCTTCAGGAGGGCCTTTGCACCTCCTGCCATGACACCAACTCTCTGCTGTCAGGAAGGGTCCGGCATCATTCCAGTAAGTTTAAATCGATCATCACCTCATGTAAAAGAGTCCGTACCACCGCTGCTCAGTGGAGATGGAAAAAGCAAGTGGTGAGCAAACCATCAGCAGGACTGCTTACACGCTGTCCTGTCTGGCTCAGCCTTCTCCCACAAGAGGCCCCACCAGATGACCATGATGGGCAGGACGGAGGAGGTGGCTGCAGCCCAAGATGGGCAGAAATGACTGAAAGAAGCCAAAAGTCCCTCCGAAGAACAGGAGGAGCTGGAGAACTATCGACCCTCTAGGAAGATTCTAGAGGAGACCACAAAGAGACAGATCAGTAAGCACTTTGAACGGGAAACCGTAACTACCAGAAGTCCATATGGATTCGTCAAGATCAAGTCCTGCCCAAACAACTGGACTTTATTTTCATTGGATGACTTCCTTACTAGATTATGGCAATACTCTAGACATAATGCACGTATATTGATTTTAAAAAGTGTTTGACAAAAGGGTCCCATGTAACGTTCTGATTAGCTGGCTTCTTAAGTACAGGCTGGGTAGTGTGACAATTCAGAAATCATACTCCAAAGGTACTAATAAATGTTTCTCATCAAACTGGAGTGAGGTGCCATAAAGTTCAGTCCTCAGTTCCATTTTTTATTAATCACTTAGTAGAAGAGATGAAGAGAATTTTATCAAATTCATAGGCATAATATTGGGTGAGGTAATTAATATTTTAGAAGGTACAAGTAAATTTCAAAACAGAGACAAACGCTCTTGAGAAACAGAATTCAAATGCAAGGTATAAGATGGTGGTTATCTGGCTTGGAACTGTACCCGATTACAAACTGAATATGAATCTGTAATGTGATACAGCCTTTAAAAAGGTAATGCAATTTTACACTTAGGCCACACTAACAGAAGTATACTTTCCAAGCCACAGAAAGTTTAAGAATGTTGGTCAGACCCCAGCTTGAATACAGTATTTAGTTCTGATCCCCACACTTGACAAGCTGAATCAGAAGATCAGAAACAAAATTCTATGAAGAGGGACTGAAAGTGCTAAGACTGTGGTATGATACGGTAATAAGCTGACTACTTGATTTTTTTCTGATTTGCACAGGAGCAATTCAGGTCACGGGATAACAGCTGGTTCAAGTTTTTAGCTTGCCAACAGAAGCACGCCCATCACCATCAGAAACAAGTTCTATCAGGGGAGACTAAAGGTACTGAGAATGGTTAGTCTTTAAAAGAGAAGATGGAGAAAGGACGTCAAGGTATACCCTGTGTTATCCCAAAGGGCAGGACGTGGAATAATGAGTTTAGATTACAGGGTGGCAGGTTCCAATTGACTAGTGGGAAAAACTGCTTAAAAATAAAGGTATTGGGCAGTGGAACCAACTTCTCAGAAAGGCACTCCTTACTGCATTCGAGGGTAGACGAGGGTTTAAGGCCAGCGAGGGAGGACGGCAGGAGCTCTAGAGCTTCTAATCACAACCATCCACTATCTGTGAAACAGAGAACTCTCTTAATCCCAAGGCCAGAACAGGGTAAACACAGGGAAAGAGATGCCCCAGATTTAATTAAAGGAAAGACACAGGTCTTAGATGACTTTCTGGAAGACGAGGGAGATTTAACTCAACGGTTTGCCACTCTCCCCCCAGAGGAACAACAACTGATCTTAAGCAAGCTTGAAACAATTAAATCTATGCTTCTCCCAGCCACCGTTGCAACGGAGGCCCTGAACACCTTGCTACCTTCTAGTTGCTCCTCTGTGAAAATGCCACTAAGCCCGGCCTCTGAGTGCACAAAATCTCCCCCCCCCAAAAAAGTGTGCCAGTCCAAAGCAAAACTATATCAAAGAGAAGACCCTCAGCGGGTCAGTGTAGTACAATCTTCATGTAACTGTTCAGAGTGTAAGTCTGTAGTTGATGAGTTAAATCTCCCTCGTCTTCCAA